GGGCAGCTGAGGATAGGGAACCTGAAATGGCCCTATCCTATAGCCATACTGATGAATATCTTGCATATCACCATAGAATCTTCATCTGGCGATGGATGGAGATAGAGACAGAGTCCCACATTGGATCACCAGAACGAGCTCCCAAGGTCCCACTGAGGAGCAGAAGGAGGGAGAACATGAGCAAGGAAGTCAGCACCGTGAGGGGTGCACCCACCCATTGAGACAGTGGGGCTGATCTATTGGGAGCTCACCAAGGCCAGCTGGACTGTGACTGAAAAAGCATGGGATAAAACCGGACTCTCTGATCATGGCAGACAATGAGGGCTGATGAGGAGCAAAGGACAATGGCACTGGGTTTTGATCCTACTTCATGTTCTGGCTTTGTGGGAGCCTAGCCAGTTTGGATGCTCACCTTCCTAGACCTGGATGGAGGGGGGAGGACCTTGGACTTTCCACAGGGCAGGGAACCCTGACTGCTCTTCAGACTGGAGAGGGAGGGGGAGAGGAGTGGGAGGAGGACGGGAAATGGGTGGCTGGGAGGAGGCAGAATTTTCTTTTTCAATAAAAAATAAATTTAAAAAAAAAGATCCTGCTGCCATCACTCACCCACCTTAGTAGACTGGACCTTTAAATGGTAAGCCAAAAATAAACTGTCTTCATTGAGTTGCCTTTGTAGGAGTATCTGAAGGCAGCAACAGGAATAGTAATCAATGCCAATGCAAACACTAAGAGAAAACCTACTGACAAAATCAAAGACACCTAAAATCTGTATAGCCCATGCCATTTCTTATCAGGGATCGACTACCCAGCCTCTGTCATGTATTAGCATCACCATCCTTATCACAGACATCTTCAAACACCAAAGTACTTAGCACAGCTGAAGTATGGTATAATAATGATGTGCATGGTGGTACATGGTACTGGCAAGAGCCAGTCCAGTCCAGAGGGGATGGAGCCTAGGGGTTTGTGAGTTCAGACCAGTTGGGTTACAAACATTATCACAGATGAAGGAAGGAAGGAAGGAAGGAAGGAAGGAAGGAAGGAAGGAAGGAAGGAAGGAAGGAAGGGTAAATGAAGGAGGTTGTGGGAGGAACTTAGAGGAGAGTAGGGAGGGAGGGAAAACTATGATCAGGCTGGAAAAATTAATTAATAAAAATATATTTTAAAATATGGAGGATGGATATGTAGCTCCATTAGTAAAGTGTTTGCCTGACATGCACAAAACCTTGGGTTTAAGCCTCAGCACTGCATAAAGCCAGGTATGGTGACATGCACATGCCTATGATTCCAGCCTTCTGGAATTGAAAGCTGGAGGATCAGGAGTTCAAGATCATCCTAGACAACAGAGCAAATTCAAGGCCTATGCGATGGCTCAGTAGGCTAAGGTGATTGAATTGGGTCCCTCCTATCCACAAAAGGAGACAAGTGATTCCACAAAGTTGTCCTCTGACATCCACACATGCACCATGATGCATATCCCCACACATACACAAACATAACATAAATAAATGCAAAATAAAAAAGAAGTGGAGAAAGGTAGAAAAGAGGGGAAGAGATATATGAGAGATGAAACATGGTCTAAGTAATATCAAAGACAATATGTCACACAGAGCTTCGTGGGTTCTAGACTCCATCATATAATATCATGTACATCCAGACAAAAATTGAACACATATAACCTATTTGATTTACACCCACACATGCTTCTAGTCCTTACTCTAAGAACAATCCATCTCCTTGAAGAAACAGCCACAGCTCACCTGGCACAGACACACCCATCACATCCTCCTGGAATCCTATTCATCCCTTACCTTCTTTATTCTTCTCAGTTCATGGAGATGTGTTTGATTAACAGGGTCAATCCCACCAAAGACCAGAGCCACAATCAGGGAAGCCCAGGATATGAGCTCAAACCCTCCCCTTCCAGGAAAACCATATCTGTAGTACTGTGTTAGCCTAAAAGTTTGGTGTATCTGTAGGAAGACCTAGCCATCATCCAGGCCAGCTTCTCTCACTCCCTCATCTTGACACTCAACCCACAGGAAAGAACTACTGATTGAATTTAAACATCCAACAGTCTCTAATGGGAACCCATACCCTAACTAGAAAGGGTGATGGCAGAGCTGGTCCCTGAGCTGTTATCCTCAGAAGATGATGCTGGCCCTGGTCTCCAAAGATCTGGCAAGCCTTCCACCCACTGCCGTGGGAACAATCCAGACTCTAATGCAATCCTGAGCACTGCTGATACTATCTCCTCCTCTGTCTCTGGACTACTAGCCCAGGTACAGGACATAAATCTGGACTGCTGACTCCAGGGTCTGGGTTGAGCTAGACCCCAACTCCCCCTCCTTCCCTAGCAAAGATCCTAGACTTCTCAGAATCTCAAGTTTCTAGTCTCATGTCCTCAGTGGGACATGGGAGGAAACTTACCTTCCTCAGACAGTGTGACATTGAGCCTCTTGGGGACAAGCAAGGATCTGTGCAGCACCACACACTGGTAGGTAGTCCCATGGTCTTCCAGAGATGGCTTCAGAGTCAAGTAGCTGGAAACATTGAATGTGCCATCATCATTCTTCAACGTGGGACCAGTGACATGGCCCTCAGTAATTTCTTGGAACTGGGAATCCTTCAGGGTATACTTCCCCCATTTTATGCTAAAGGCTTCTGGGTAGAATCCATCTAGCTCACATATAATATGTTCCTCTTCATCATTTCTCACTGTAGATGGCTTCACAAATAATCTAATGGTTGGGCAAGCTGCCAGAGAAGAGAAAGAGAAAATATATCATGTTTACTTACCCAAGATGAACACCCAGCTTGGCAGGTACAGGCCTTGCAGCTACTAAGGAGGTCACAGAAGAAGGGATACAAGTAAAAAGACAGCAGTGTTATGTGGCCAGTTAAAGGTCAGACTGTGCCCATCTCCAAGTTAAAAAACAGGAAGAAAGTAAAAAGAGGGCTGGAGATGTAGCTGAGAGATAGAAAGCTTGCCTTGTGGCATGTTCAAATCCCCCATTTGATCCCCACACCAAAGAAAAGAGACAAATAGGGCTGTAATCATTCCCATTAATGGGCTGGAGACCTGCTAATTTACCACACTAGACAGGGAGCTCTTTGCAGCATGGTGGACCACTGGCAAGCCTTCAGGGTAGGTGAATGAACATGTTGGGACTCTGCTTAGTTAAATATTCTGGGTATGTTGGTAGCGGTGCCAGCAGGGTAACACAGTAATTTTGTCAAGCAGAGATTATGAAGCTATAGTCAGACACTTTTCAGATTTTGCAAAGGCTTGGGGAATAGCTATAGTGGATATCACTAACTCCAAGAATTTGCCTGAAAATGATATTCTAGACAGATTCAGTCATTCTGGATCTGTTCAAAAGCAGCAGGAGCACATTCCAGGAAGTATCCTTAAGAAAAGGAAAGTGTCCCCGCAACTGACAAAGGTCTGATCTCCAAAATATATAAAGAACTCAAGAAACTAGACCGTAAAAGGCTAATCAACCCAACTGAAAAATGGGGCACTGAGCTGAACAGAGAATTCACAACAGAAGAAGTTCAAATGGCCAAAAGACACTTAGTGTCATGCCCAACTTCCTTAGCGATCAGGGAAATGCAAATCAAGACAACTTTAAGATACCATCTTACACCTGTCAGAATGGCTAAAATCAAAAACACCAATGATAGCCTTTGCTAGAGAGGTTGTGGAGAAAGGGGTACACTCATCCATTGCTGGTGGGAATGCAAACTTGTGCAACCACTTTGGAAAGCAGTGTGGCGGTTTCTCAGGAAATTCGGGATCAACCTACCCCTGGACCCAGCAATACCACTCTTGGGAATATACCCAAGAGATGCCCTATCATACAACAAAAGTATATGCTCAACTATGTTCATAGCAGCATTGTTTGTAATAGCCAGAACCTGGAAACAACCTAGATGCCCTTCAATGGAAGAATGGATGAAGAAAGTATGGAATATATACATATTAGAGTACTATTCAGCAGTAAAAAACAATGACTTCTTGAATTTTGCATGCAAATGAACGGAAATAGAAAACACTATCTTGAGTGAGGTAAGCCAGACCCAAAAAGAGGAACATGGGATGTACTCACTCATATTTGGTTTCTAGCCATAAATAAAGTATATTGAGCCTATGATTTGTGATCCTAGAGAAGCTAAATAAGAAGGTGAACCCAAAGACAAACATATAGTTATCCTCCTGGATATTAACCTTTATCAGGCGATGAAAGGAGACAGAGACAGAGACCCACATTGGAGCACCAGACTACAACCCCAAGGTCCAAATTAGGAGCAGATGGAGAGAGAGCACAAGCAAGGAACTCAGGACCGTGAGGGGTGCACCCACACACTGAGACAATGGGGATGTTCTTTCGGGAACTCACCAAGGCCAGCTGGACTGGGTCTGAAAAGCATGGAATAATACCGGACTCGCTGAACATAGTGGACAATGAGGACTGCTGAGAAGTCAAGAACAACGGCACTGGGTTTTGATCCTACTGCACATACTGGCTTTGTGGGAGCCCAGGCTGTTTGGATGTTCACCTTACTAGACCCGGAAAGAGGTGGGTGGTCCTTGGACTTCCCACAGGGCAGGGAACCTGGTCCGCTCTACAGGCTGATGAGAGAGGGGGAGTTGATTGGGGGAGGGGGAGGGATATGAGAGGCGGTGGCGGGGAAGAGACAGAAATCTTTAATAAATAAATGAATGAATAAATAAATGAATAAATAAATAAATAAATAAATAGAAAAGGAAAGTGTCCTTGATACTGATAATAAAACAGACAAATCAGGCCTGGTGTGGAGGCACAAGCTTACAATACTAGCACATAGGAGACAGAGGCAGGAAGATTAGAATACAAGGGCATCTGCAGCTACATAACAAGTCTTGGGCAGTCTAGGCAACCTGAGACCACTTTCCAGAAGGCCAAATAAATAAATAATATAATGCCAAGTCATGAACTATGAAGAAAAAACTAGTAAGTTGGGGTTCTTAAAATGTCAACACTTCTATATAGAACTTGATAAAGTAAAATGATAAGACAGAGGCTTTAAGAATATATTTGTGAAACACACAAGCCACAAAAGACTTTCATCTAAAACAACGTGGAGAACTCCACTACACAACTGAGTGAAGAGACACCATGACCAAGGCAACACTTATAAGAGAAAAGCATTTCATTGTAGACTTGCTTACAGTTTCAGACCCTCAGTCCATTATCATCGTGGTAGGGAGGGAGCATGCATGGTGGTCCTGGAGCAGTAACTGAGAGCTACATCCTCACCCACAGGCAGAAAGAGAGAGCAACTGACTGGGCCTGGCATGGGCTTTTGAAACCTCCCACTGGCTTTTAGTCAGATCATAAAGCAAAAGCGCACTTAGTTGTTGTGAATGCAAATGCAAAGGTGTGTTGCATTTATTTATATTGTGGAATATTGTTTAACTATGTAAAGGTGTGTTGCATTTGTTTAATTATGTCAAGATGCATTGCTGATTTGCTGATTTACCTTGGCTGCCTAAGGCACCTGATTGGTCTAATAAAAAACTGAATGGCCAATAGCAAGGGAGGAAGTATAGGGTGAACTTCTAGGCTGAGAGAGTAAGTAGAAGGAGGAATTTATGTTTAAGTAAAGAAGAAAAAAAAAAAGAAAATGCCAGGGAGATGTCAGGAGACAGACAGACAGACACCAAGAAAGCAGGAAAGTAGGACATATAGAATGAAAAAAAAAAAAGGTGCTGGGCAGTGGTGGCGCATGCCTTTAATCCCAGCACTTGGGAGGCAGAGGCAGGTGGATCTTTGTGAGTTCGAGGCCAGCCTGAGATACAAGTGCTCGTTCCAGGACAGGCTCCAAACTACAGAGAAACCCTGTCTTGGAAAAAAAAAAAAAGATTAAAAAACCCTGAAGCAAAATGTAGATGAATAGAAACAGGTTACATTAAGTTAAAAGAGCTGGTGGGACAAGATGAGCTAAGGCTTATTAATAATTAATAGTAAGTCTGCATGTTTTTATTTGGGAGTTGGTTGATGGCCCAAAGAAAATAACAAATATATTTAGTCCAGCTTCAAAAGTCCCCATAGTCTATCACCATCTCAACACTTTAAAAATCCAAAGTCTCTTTTGAGACTCAGGGCAATCTCTTAGCTATGACCTCCTGAAAAATCAAAATAAAAAAAAAGCAGATCATATATTTCAATATAGGGTGGCACAGAATATACGTTACCATTCCAAAAGGAAGGAAAGGAGCATGGTGAGGAAATACTGGACCAAAACAAAACTCAATACTAGCAGGACAAACTGTAGCATAAGAGTCAACAGAACTATTGTATCTGGTGTGAATTCCAGGGTGACAGCAGCTGGGCTTTGATGGAACCTCTGTCAATAGTCAGTGATTGCTGCCTGAGGTTTAGGTAGTTGCTTTTCCTGAAGGATTCACAGACTTTGCATAACTTAGTCTCCAGATATACCTGGCAAGAATGCTCAGGTAATGGTTCCTTCAGACAACTCCAGATAAGATGTTTGGGAATGCAGGAAGTGATTTCCTCCTAGGCAGGTTCTGTTTCTGTTTTTATTTATTTATTCATTTTTATCTCATGTACATTGATGTTTTGCCATGGATGTTGAGTCCCCTAACCTGGAACTGGAATAACAGACAAGTGTGAGCTGCCATGTTGGTACTAGCAATTAAATCTGGGTCCCCTGGAAGAGCAGTCAGTGCTCTTAACCATTGAGCCATCTCTCCATCACCCCCTCCCTTTTTTTGGTTAATGTTTTTTAGAGATGGAGGTACCAGCAGTTCAGTATTGTTGTTATGTTTTATAATTTATATACTTACTTATTTACTTAATTATTTTAAAGCAAGGAACCTGGCTGAAGAAGTACTTCAACCCTTTTTTCATTTTTTGCTTCCGTTTCATTTCTATCTTTAAATTATTCATGTTCCATCCATTTCAACTTTCTGTTAACTAGACTCTCAAGTACCTCATTTCAAATGTCTCCTTCTACCCTATCTTTTCCACATTTACAATCCTTTAGTAACATTCTTATTTTTTTCCAAGTTAGGTGGATTTTCATTATCAGTGCATCTCTATCCTTTATGTGCTAATTTATATACAAGCCAGTTAATGTTGAGCCCCCATATTACTTAAGGATACTGTCTTACTTAGGGTTTTTATTGCTGTAAAGAGACACCATGACCATGACAACTCATATAAATGAAAAAATTTCACTGGGATAGCTCACTAATAGTTTCAGAGCTTTGGTCCATTCTCATCATGGTGGGGAGCATGGTGGCATGCAGGCAGATGCGGTGCCCCAGTTAACTGCATGTTCTTGGCTTCTGTTAAACTGCTTGCTTGCTTCCCCTGCAACTGTGAACAAGGATGTAATTTTTCTGTGTTCTTTGCTTTAAAAGCTCCCTGTAAAATAAATTTGAGGCTATTGTGTGAGAATTGTTTCTCTCCAGGCAGTTTCTGGTCAGACTCTCAATTTGGACTTTGGTCATGCTGAGTGGTCTTTTGGTCTCTCCCCCACAACAATTCTCAAACTGTTTTAGTTTTCTTTAGTTTGGGAAATAGTGGGTGTTTGAGCCAGATACTAGCAAACACTTTACAACCAAGCGATGTACAGCCCCACATAAAAAGTGTAGCCACAGGTAACCTCAAACTCAAGATCCTCCTGACTCATCCTCTTGGACAGAAATTAAAACCACGACCCCTTGACTCTCTCACCCATGTTCTAACCCTCCTCTGCTTGGCCATCCAAATGTCTACCACTAACCCCAGCACCATCAGAAACACAAGGCACTTCCATCGAGTACTCACCCACAACTTCTAGCATGGTCTTTCCCTCTGCTTTGTCAGGAGTGACTACCAGCATGCATCGGTATTCTCCTGCTTCCCACAGCTGGACCTCAGGCAGATGGAGTGAGGCATCTCCTGACTCCAGCCCCAATAGTGGCACCGTGGCTCCAGGTCGGAATGACTCTGTGTGATTTCCATAAAACTCAAATACCTTGACCTCGGATTTATTCAGCTCATTCTTCACAAACCAGATGATTCCCACAGTGTCGATGTCAAGTCGTGGGGAACCAGGGATTTTGCAGGTTATGGTGACATTGTCATGTAGGAATACCATCTGTGTCATTCCTGCCATATCCACTTCTAGCCCACCTATGTCAAAAAGAAAATTCAGTTACAGGAGGCTTTTAGTACCCAGTCACTGGGATAGAATGAATAGCCCTTGGAGATTTGGGGGGGGGGGGGCTCAGAATAATTCTTACCTTCAGCCTCTTGTTAACTCAAATAGATTCCTCAGCCCTATCCTTTCTTTTTGAACCATTTTGACTATTAGGGGTCCATGTACATTTTAGAATAAACCAATTAATTTTTAATTGAAAAATTACATTTACTGGGTGTGTGCACGTGTGTAGCTTAGTACCTATGTAGAAGTCAGAGTACATTTGTGGAAGCAAGTTCTTTTCTTAAATCATGTGGGCTCCAGGGAGCAAAGACAGGTCATCGGGTTTGATGGCAAGCACCTTAAACTGAAAAACCATCTGAACAGTCCCAAATTATCAATTTCTACAAAGAAGTTTTCTGATAGGAATCATACCAAACCCACAGATCAATTTGGGTGTATTGTCATGTTAAGGATGTTATCTTTTTCTCTCCATTAACATGGTTGGTGATATGCCATGTGCAGAATTCTTCATCCCCCAAAATTTATATGTTGGGGCTGAATCCCCAGCATTTAGAAATAAGGACTTTGTGAGATAATTAGGGCATGAAATTGAAACCCTCTAAATGGGATTGGAGTCACTGACTAGAGTCACTATGGGAGCCAGGAGTGAGACCTCTCTCTGTCATGATGACAAAACAGGAAGTTATCCTAGGGCTGAACCAGCCAGTCCCCTTATCTCAGATTCCAAAACTACAGAACTAGGACATTTAGAATGCTACCAAAAAATGAAAACTGCCCCTCCCTGCCTCTGCAAAAACTTTGGTAAAGATGCCTTGATAAAAAAAAAAAAGCTAGAGTTTTTCTCTAACTCTGGCCCTAGTTACCATATAATAGATAAGTAAGATCCCCAAAGGGATACAATCAAGCAAACTGCATACTATAGATCTTAAATGCACATCTACGGAATCAGTCAGCACATCTACACTTTCAGAGCTCTCATCACTTTGGCAGGCTATAACCACAGTAAGTGGGACCCTAGAAGACCAGCAAAAATAGTCAGAACTCCAGCAGTCTTCCCCTTCCTTCCCATTCCATCCATATCCTACCTGCAATGGGCATGCACCACAGAAGCACCAACACCAAACTCGCCATGTAGCCATCCTGCCATTCTGCCACCCATGATGAGGCCATGATGCTGAACTGGATTGGCTGGAGGTCCCCTTCTCATCAGCTGAGTCACCAGGCAAGAGTTTTAGGAGTACCTTAGTGAAGCTCTTACTGGCACTAGGAAAGAAACAAAGAAAGGAAGGAAGGGATAGAATTTTTACTTCTCTTTTCTATGAATTATGGCCAAGTTTCTTCCCTGTAGGCTTACTGCCTTCTTACCTCCTTATGTGGCATATCTCACCCCTTGCTAATCAGACAGTAACTAAGAACAATGAAGGGATCCTCTTGTAAAGCTAGGAGCCCACTCTTCTAGCTTGGGAACTGCTGTGGAATAATGCTATTGTACCCTATAAAGATTTGTCACTCATATAGATTTAATAAAATACTGATTGGCCAGTAGTCAGGCAGGAAGTATAGGTGGGGAAACAAGACTAGGAGAATTCTGGGAAGAGGAAAGCCAGTCACGAGCAAGATGCAGAGGAAACTAGATGAGAATGCCTTGCTGAGAAAAGGTACCAAGACACATAGCTAAGCATTGACAAGAATTATGGGTTAAGTTGTAAGAACTAGTTAATAATAAGCCTGAACTATTAGTCCAAACAGTTTATAATTAATATAAGTTTCTGTATGTTTCTTTAGGACTGAATGGTGCAGGACCACAGGGACAGAAATTTTCATCTACATTTGGCACCCAATGAAGGCAAAACCAACCACACATGCTTTTTCCAAGCAATCCACTGTGTGTTTGTCAGACAACTCTATCTGTCTGTCTGTCTATCTATCTATCTATCTATCTATCTATCTATCTATCTACCTATCTCTTTCTCTCCACCATGGATGACTGGATTTCCCTGAACCCCCTTCTCAGGCTGCTGCCCAACAATTGGCAATTATATCTACATAAAACCTAAGAAAGTTTGGGAAGAGATTCTAGACACAAAAGAAAAAAAAACAGATTCAAGCACAGCTTCTTGGTAACCATCTTTACTCCAGTAGGTTCTGTTTGCTGGCAGAAAGCAGAGGCACAGCTCCTTTAAGAAAGGCTTCCTGATTCAGTGTTAGAAGAAAAAACTGCATGACAGCTCTTTGGAGAATCCCTGCCACCAAACATTTAAGAGGTGCTTATAAGCAGCTGGTGGCATGCTTCTTGGTGGTGGCATGAACTGAACCTAGAAACTACAGAGTTGTGGCAATAAGCGTGGCTCCTGCCAGTACCTCTGCCATGAAACTAGATTCTCAGGAAGCCAAGGAATGGGGCAGAGACAGTCACCAAAGCTGTAGCTTTAATCCTATCCACACTTATCTTTAGCCGATTAAAGACTCATGTGCTCAGAAAAAAGATAGATATATAGAGTAAAGACAGATACAGATGGGAAAAACTTCTAAATGGTTTACAGTGTGTTTTAAAATATACATATGCTTGGGAGAGAAAAAAAAAGATAAAGTCCAAAAAAAAGAAAGAAAGAAAGAAAGAAAGAAAGAAAGAAAGAAAGAAAGAAAGAAAGAAAGAAAGAAAGAAGCTGGGCATTGGTGGTGCATGACTTTAATCCTAGCATTTGGAAGGCAGAAGCAGGTGGATCTCTGTGAGTTCAAGGCTAGCCTATTCTGTAGAGTGAGATCCAGGATAGCCAAAGATACACAGAAAAACCCTATCTCAAAATACCAAAAATTAAAAATAAAAATAAAAGAAATAGTTTTTAAAAAGCCACATAAAGATAGAAAATACACAGATAATCTGGATACTGTATGTTATTGTGTTATCTTTGAATTTTTTGACTGCTGAGGAAGGAGCAACAGCTGCTAAAAGACATTTGATTATAAGTATTGCTGGATTAATCCAACCTATATATTTTTATATGCTTTGACTTCAAAATTTAAGTCAAATGATATGTTACTTTGGAGAAGAGGTTCTGATATGGGATTCCTCTCTGTATGCTGTAAATAGTTTTATTACCATTAGTTAATAAAGAAGCTATTTTGGCCTATGGCAGGGCAAAATAGAGCAAGGCAGAAATTCCAAGCAAGAGGAGAAAAGAAGGCAGAGTCAGGGAGAGTCCATGTAGCCACTGACAGAGAAAGACACCAACTGCCAACCCCAGAATCTTACCAGTAAACCATGAGACACATGGTAAAATACAAAATAATAGGAATGGGTTAATTTAAGACATAAGAGTTAGTTAATAAGAAGCCTAAGCTATTGGTCAAGCAGTATTGTAATTAATATAGTTTCTGTGTGATTATTTTGAGTCTGGGTGGCTGGGAAACAAACAAGCAGCCTCCACCTAGAAAATGGCATGCCGATGTGGGCTGACTACATCCACATAAAACCTGAGAGAGCTAGAAAAATAATTTTAGACATAAAAGAGCAAAGTTTAGCACAGCTTCTTGGTAGCCACATTTCTTTCAGACACTCTCTGTATGCTGGCAGCAAGCAGGGGCTCTGTGGCTCCTTTAAGAGAGGCCTTCCTGACTCAGCATTGGCAGCAAAGGCTGCATGACTTCTTTAGGGTAGGGCTTTCTGGTTCATGCTAGTTGCAAGAACAACTCTAGCTCTTTCAGGAGGCCACCACTTAAATGGAGTCTGTGAGCAGCATGTTAGAAATTGCTTTATGGTTACATAGACCAGCTGTGACTCTGGAGCTGGGGCAGTGTGCATGGCCTCTGCCATGTTGGACTGGGTGGAGTCAACAGGCAAGGCCGTGGAGTTGGTCCTAGTCATGCCGAAATGATTACATATATGTACACACTAAAGACAGATTCAGATGAAAAAGACCTCTAAATGGGTCACAGTGTTGTATAAATGTACATAGGCTTGGGATAAAGAGAGGAAAAAGTATAGGCAGTTATAAAAGAGTACAGACAGTCATAGATTAAAAGAGTAAAGAACTGGGCAGTGATGTAGGAGTTCTTCTTTCTATGTGTTGTTTTCATTGGTTAATTAATAAAGAAAACTGTTTGGCCTGATAGGTCAGAACATAGGTAGATGGGGAAGACAGAACAGAATGCTGGGAAGAAGGCAATGAGTCAGACAGCATGGCTCTCCTCTCCGAGATGGATGCAGGTAAGAATCTTCCCGGTAAGCCACCACCTCGTGGTGCTACACACATTAATAGAAATGGGTTAATCAAGATGTGAGAGTTAGCCAGCAAGAGGCTAGAGCTAATGGTCCAAGCAGTGTTTAAATGAATACAGTTTCCGTGTAATTATTTCGGGTAAAGCTAGTCGCGAGCCGGGCGGAAATGTAGCCCGCTGCTCCTTCTACAATTGGCACCCTACAGGGTGGTGGTGGTGCACACCTTTAATCCTAGCACTTGGGAGGCAGAAGCAGGTAGATCTCTGTGAGTTCGAGACCAGCCTGGTCTACAAGAGCTAGTTCCAGGACAGGCTCCAAAGCTACAGAGAAACCCTGTCTGAGAGAGAGAGAGAGAGAGAGAGAGAGAGAGAGAGAGAGAGAGAGAGAGAGAGAGAGAGAGAGAGTAAAGATAATAAAATAAATATTAAACTGGAAATATAGGTGGAGCAACAAGACTGGGAGAATAATTCTAGGAAGAGAAAAGGCAGAGATGCAGTCACTATACAGATACAGAAGAAGCAAGATGAGAATGCCTTATTGAAAAAAGGTACTAAACCACATGATGAAACATAGACAATAATTATGAGTTAATTTAAGTTGTAATAGCTAGTTAATAATAAGTCTGAGCTAACAGGCCAAACAGTTTATAATTAATATAAGCCTCTGTGTGTTTCTTTGGGACTGAATAACTGTGGTACTTGGCAGAACAGAAACTCCTGTTTACAGGGAACCATAACTGCTTCAGACTAAAACTGATTAGAACTGACAATAAGGTGAATTGCTACCCAGGCAATATTTGACAATGAATTCCAGTTTGGGGACATGGAAGCCAAACATCCCTACTCTATGATATCTATGTTAACTTCAAGCTGAAGATAAGCATGCTTAGAAACCAGTGCTTCTGCACTACCAGAAAGATCTAGTCCTTAGGAAGTCACACAGACTCTCTTAACAGTATAAGTCCACTCAGCCCTCCTACTCTATGTTATGTGTGTGTGGTTTACAAACTGCATTCTTTCAACATTGCCCAGTTTGTCATTTTCCTCAAAAAAAAATAAGGAGGTATGAATAAAGCTTGATGGCAGAGTGCTTACCTCACACAAACAAGGTCCTGGGTTTCAGTCCCAGTTTTCCAACACTGCTGAAAAACAAAGAAACAAAAAAAGAAAAAGAAAAAGATGATCCCCAGCACCCACATAAAGGCCAGGCATGAGTAGAGACCCACCTATCATCTCAACATGCTAGAAATGGACACAGGATCTCTGGAGCAAGCTGTCTTGCTAGATTAGCTGAATTGATGAGCTCTGGGATCAGCAAGTGACTCTGCCTCTGCAAATAATGTAGTGAATGACTGAAGAACATAGCAACCTCTGCTTCCATGCATGCACCTATATACATAAATGTACCCACCCAAACATATATCACATAAACAAGCACATGCAAAAAATGGAAAAGAAGATGACAATTAAGTATGCATTTTCCTGATTTTAATATAATCTTAAATGAACATATACCAAGATTGATTCAATTGGTATCTTCCAACAAGTATTATGTGGGATATAGAACACATACAGGTCCTTGTGCTCACAGATAAGCATGAGGGAATCCAGAAGTGTTAACTACACAGCATTGTCTCTTCAAATGAAGACATATATAACTAGTTTTCTGCTCAGAAGACGAGAAATGGATGTCTTTTATAGTCTGGTGACCTCTGTGGTCTCTATATGACCAGGTCACACAGGCTGCCCCAGACCCTTATCTTGGGTTTGTTTATCTTGAGCCTGTTTCCTCAATTAATCTTTAGAACCAATCTTTATGGAAGATTTCACTGTACTGCTCAAGAATTATGTAATCATGTCTTAAGCTTTGCTGTGCTCATGAAATTAGTTCATTATCACCAGAAAAGTTTTTTCCAAATTGTGCTGTGCTTAAGTATGCCAAAAAACACACTACTCAAGGTTACTCTTGAAGTCTGAACCACTGCTGGCTACTGAGGCAACTTGAACTGGATTTCCATCTTGCTTTTGAAGATTAACACTCTTCTGGCCTTGATATTTGCAGAGACCCCTGCATTAGGAGAATGGTAACATCCATACAAAGCAATCTGTGAGTTCCAGGTTCAGTGAAGAGAAATAGAGGAAAGTACCCCACATTGACCTCTAGCCACACCCAAATGCACAGACGTGCAGTCTTACATGCCTGTACCCTCAGAGGACAGAAGAGGATGTCTGTGATTTTCCTAGCATTGTCAAGCTTCCTTGGCCATTTCCCCCCCCCCCTGTAAACACTATGTAAGATGCTGTACTTAATAAACTTGTTTGGCATAGGCATATACGAGACCTCCTTGTCCAAACCATTGCTTTTGTCTTCTTTATTTCTCATCCCCAGTCCTCCCTCTCAACACTTCATCTTTCAGAACCCTTATTCCTGCCGGTTCAGGATGAACAGAACACAGAAATGGGGTAGGAGTACAGAAGAAATCATCAAAGGTAAGTATGGCCATGAGAAATATATAAGAAGAATATATATTTGCAGGGCTCTCCAAAAATAATAAGTGCATAGAATGAAAAGGAAAGAAAGGAAGAGGAAGAACAGCTTCAGGATAGCTAGATTCTAAGGAGCACTTTTTTTCTTTTTGATGCTTTGTTTGCTCTGCATCCTCATTCCTGTGATGCATTGCTAAAGCGCTTAGAGAAGGTCTTTACTTTCATTTCTAAAAACCTGCTGTTGGCTCCCTGAACAAGGTTCTGTATATTTAAAGACATAGATCCTTCCCCCCACACACAATAAAGCATTCTGCCCTTCATTTACTGAAGCCAAGGGGGCCTCTGAATGCTCTCAAAATTGTTTTGAACAAAAGTTTTGTTTTATTTTTATTTTGATATGGTTTCTATAGAGTACATATTAACAAAAAGAACTAACACTTTGAGATTGACAAATTTCAAGAAAAAAATCAAAGAAAAAGTACAGATGCTGCCACGGAAGAGCTCTTTTGTTATTGCACTTTAAGAAGGCACCATATGCCTGTAGGGAGTGGCATTGTTATGGTGTGTGGCTTGTTGGAGGAAGATTGTAAAGCACAACGCCTTTTCTAGAGGATGGTACCTGAGCCTGGAACCAGGCTGGAGATTTAAAAGCACAAACACAGAGACAGACAGAGAGACAGCACCACAGGTCATCCTTGATACAAGAATGTCAAGTTAATTGTGTTCTAGGGAAGCTTATATAGGGATCCTTAACTGATAGCCATGCACCATCCCCTGGGATTTTCAGCTGTAAAACCCACCAGAAACCACTCTCCTGCCATCAGGAACTCATGAGGGTCTTGTGCTCAGAGCAGCTGCAGGCACAGTAAACAAGTTGTCTTGCTCAGTTGACTCCAGCAGGCAAAGTGGCTGAGGTGGGCAAAGAAAGTCAAGGGGCCAGGGGTCTACAAGCCCCCACAGAAAACTGTCACTGGAAGTGAATTTCAAGGTTTTAAAAGCCCAAGTCAGGCCTGGTCTGTCTGTCTGTTTCTCTCTCTCTCTCTTTCTCTCTCTCTCTCTCTCTCTCTCTCTCTCTCTCTCTCTCTCTCTCTCTCTCTCTCTCTCTCTCTCTCTCTCTCTCTCTCTCTCTCAGGACCCACGCACTGTGGCATGCTCCTTCTGGACACAGATCACACCAATTTTCAGCACAAAGAGAGAACTGGATCTTGGTAGCCAATCTTAGAATGAGGAAGTCTAGTGGCTTAGCAAGAAACAAAGGAGAGGAATGAAGCAGACCCTGCTGGTGCCCTGTTTGAGCCTGTCAGAGGCTCTCTCTACTTTTTTAGTATCTCCATTTCTGCCTCCTGTGGATCATGACACATCTCAGCTACTGTCCCAGCACCATGGGTTCCTGCTGTTATGATTTATAATTTATGGTGTGGGTGACCCTGGCAGGTCCCTGATGGGAGACCACAGCAGGTGGAAGACAGATACTCTGTGTGGAGAGAGACTGGGTATAGAGTTTATTTCGTGGGTATTGGAATGGGTGTAAGGGTAAAGGGAAGAGAGAAAGAGAGGAAGATAGAGATGGTGAGATTACCTGGCACAAGTGAGAATGAAGCACAAAACAAACCTACTTAAGAGGTCTTTAGAGAGACACTTGTCCTGACTTGAGGATGTTGGTGAGGAGAAAAACAGCTTGGAGATGGCCATCCAGCTTTTAAAGGCTGCCTAGCGCATGAGCACAGGGGTTGACGTGGCTATGTCTCACACAGATGATGAAGCTCACGCCTTATGTACGGGCTTATATAGCCGCATCATACTTAGGTGATGCAACCATGCTCCACATAGCTCATGCAGGACCTTTTAAGGTTTTGGGGGCTGCTAAGTATTTTGCCTGAGTGCTTGTTTGCACATGTGTGGCCCTGAGACCCAGAAGTGCCTGCCACCAGTGTGACGGGTGGAAGGATGGAAAGGGAGAGATAGAGGTTGCCTCTTCAGAAGAAGGATGGACAGAGAGAGAAACAGAAGGTGAGGTGTAGTGATGAGGAGCAGCAGGCTGTGTTCCACCTGGCTCCCAGCCGCCTGGCTAGCTTATGCCCCGAAATAATTACACAGAAACTGTATTCTATTAAACACCGCCTGGCCCATTATTTCCAGCCTCTTATTGGCTAATTCTCACATCTCTATTAACCCACTTCTAATAATCTGTGTAGTACCACGAGATGATGTCTTACCAGGAAGGATTCTAGCCTACATCTGTCTGCGGTCGGAGAATCATGGCGACTGCCTGACTTGGCTTCTTTCTCCCAGCATTCTGTTCTGTCTACTCCACCTACCTAATTTTCTATCCTCCATTGATAGTGAACACTAGCTTGGCTGGGTATAGAAGTTTGGGTTTGCATCCATGGTCTCTTAGCTTTTGAAGTACCTCTATCCAGGACCTTCTGGCTTTCATGGTTTCCATAGAGAAGTCAGGTGTAATTCTGATCGGTTTACCTTTATAGGTTACTTGGCCTTTTTCCTTTGCAGCTCTTAATATTCTTTCTTTAACCTGTCTATTTTGTGTTTTGATTATTATATGGCGA